AGTCTTAGACATTTAAAATAATAAAATTTATCTTTCAAGTATATATATAAACTGCAATAATTTTAACATCAGTAAAAACTAAAAAAATACAAATTATTTCATGTCACAAAGACTTGTTTAATGAATTTATTTTATCACAAAGCGTTATTCTTCAGTTTCACAAAGATGCAGGCTGTATCTGTAGCTGACACACAGCTGGTACACATTTTTTTATCCTTTTTTGTCTGGTAATGTTAAAAAAAACACAAATACTGGATGTAGAAAATATCTGAATAAACCAGCCTGTCTGACAATGTGATTATTTTTGTTTATGATGCTCAATCATTATATAATGTCTGTCATTAGTGAGTCTACATCATAATTTCTGAATTAATACGCAGTCTAACTAGTCAACAATCCTATAAATCCAATTAATTTTGGTTAAATTTGCATAATATTTACCTGTGAAACATAACCCTTTTATCTCTTGTAAAAATGCTGTAACAATTTCTGCAGTTTATAGCAAAGTATTTGTACCATTTGTACGTTTATAAAGTGTTTGTTTGCACCGCGCTACGTTCTGCTCATTAATTTCAATGGTTAGCGTTAGCATTAGCTCAATGCATAAAAAAACCCTTGCGAAGCCAGGTTGGTGTGTAAGGTGAGTCGTTCTTTTAAGTTTTAAGTTTTATTAACACACAACAACAGACCTGATGGTCTTTTCTCCACCCTTCACGATCGGATCAAAATTCATGATTACGTCGACAACCAGGCAGAGAAAAGATGTACAAGAGAAGGGAAACAGTCATACAGAGGTACAGTAAAATAAACAAGTCAATAAGCAACATTTTATTATCAGCTGAGCTGTGATGAAAAAAAAATACCGCCAAATACTGTGAAACAGGTGTACTTGTTGAAAATACTGATATAAATTTGGGTCATACCACCCAGCTCTATTAGACGGTCCACAGGCGCCTTGCGGCCTTCAGAGCCTAACAAACCTCCTGCAGTTCGAAGCACTTCCTGTCAGTGAGGCGGTTTGCTCTCAGCCAGGACATGAGCGTGTCCAACACTCGGCGGTTAACTTGGACACGAACCAGAAGCACTTCCTGCCCAGCTGTGCAGCAGACGGTTGACTCAGTCTCCGCTGATAAGCCAAACTGAGGTTTGATGAGTCGCCTCCTGTGGGAACATCAGATCTTATCGGCACAGCTTTTATTGGCCACTTCCTCCCGCCGTGGAGCCCGTCCAATCCTGAGATGATTCGCCGCCGTTACCAAAACCCACGAGTGACTGAGACGAGCTCTGCTCCTGCGTGGTCTTTGACTCGTTCTGGATCTGTGTCTTCCCGTCCAGCGGACACGTCCCCGCCTCGCGTCAGATTTACAGAACCAGAGAGTGAACGTGAGACAGAAGAGATTTTATTAACGAAGACAAGCCTGCGGCGGTAAAACAGGACAGGAAGTAATAAACACGAAGCAGGAAACATCCATGAAAACTGATTGTTTGAAAAGACTCTGGAGAGTTTAAATCATTTCTCATAAACAGAAGAAAGAGTTGAAGTCCTTCCTGCAGCTGACTCCACCAGGAAAAACTCTCATTTTGACATCAATCAAAGGAAGCGTTTAGTCCAGCTACTTCCTGTTGTGTAACCTGGACAAAAGTAAAACTGTAGGAAGTTAATCTGTAACGCTCCTGTTCCAGCAGAGAGAAGCAGCCGACGACAGGCCGTGCACGGCTGGGTGCGAGCGCTGCTTTAAGGAATGTGCTGGTCCGTGTGGCTCGGCCCGGTCCAGTCGGCCGCCACATTCCTGTCTCATCTGCCGGGAAGCCAAAGCAAACCCAGGCTCAAAGAGAGGATTCATCCTGCAGAACCCAGAGGAAAAACCTCTGAGACGGTCCAGGAGCTCCGTCCTGAAACGGACCGAACCAAACGGGTCCCAGGACCTGACAGAGTTCTGAGGAGACGTGTTGAACAGACCGCACCAGAGACCGGACCTCAGGACGGACGTCTTCAAACACACTCAGATCCAGGGCTGCAGCTAACCGTTATTTTACTAATTAATCAATCAAGTAATCAGATATTAAAAATCTGTCCTGTTTCTGCTGCAATCAAAGTAAAACTAAAGTAAAACTATAAAACCAGTTGTATTAATTCAGGGATAAGCTCCAGTTGTTCTGACATCTTTTCTGTTTAGTTTTAAATGTTCCCATGCTTTTTATAATTTATTGTTTTTGACACTCTTCGTCTTCTAAACTAAATACGGCCAAAACAAAATCTCACATTTTTTTCATCCCAAATTTGATTTTAATCGTTTTGTTTCCCAGTTAACAGAGCTCTTCTGTAACTAATTGGTTCTCCTGGTTTTTGTAGCCAAAATTAAATCTTTATAAATGGAAAGTTTGAATTAATCAATTTATCGCCCAACACTAGCACTTAGCAAGCGTACAAAAACAAAAGGTCACTGATGATGAGGAAATTAAACTAACAGTCAGGTCTGTTTTCTACTGGATTAAAAAAAAAGAAAAAAGCAAGCACACACACGTCGACAGTGTAACCGTTAGCAGAAGCGCTAACGTTGTAGCATTGTGTAACACAAATAACAGTCCAGCCGGACGACAGTGTGCTGATTATAACTGTGTGTTTTAAGGATGCACGATAAATCAGCACGAACATCGGTATCGGTCCGATATGTAAAACTGGGCTGATATTAACATCTGATATTGATTTCCCACTTTTTATCTTAGTGTTCTGGGAGCTGATTGGTTGAGCAGCATCTGGTTGATCATCAGTGATACTGATGCTGCAGCAGGAATAACTGAAGTACAGTCATGTCAGAGGTCTGCTTCTTTATTTATGTTTCAAAAAAAGACCCAAGTGTGTTTGTGTGTATATGTATAATATAATTTGTGTGTTTGTGTGTATATGTATAATATAATMTGTGTGTTTGTGTGTATATGTATAATATAATTTGTGTGTTTGTGTGATATCTGTAAATATCAGTTATCGGCCATCTATATCAGATATCGATATCTGTTGAAGTTTTCATATCGGTGCATCCCTCGTATGTGTTTTTACGAATCTTCGAGGCAGATAATTTGCCTCGAGGATTTTTTGTAATCGAATTACTCGAGGAATTGTTTCAGCCCTACTCAGACCAAACCACAAGTCCAAACAAAAACAAACAAACTTACAAAACAAAAAAAGGTCAGGAAGTTTTAGTTTCTGTTCTGAGAATAAATGTGTGAAGTAAAGCAGGGTGTGGATGTTTTGGTTGTTGTGAAGCTGGATTTCACATCAGCTCCAGGTTTTGTCTCTGCAGCTGTCAGACGCCCGGCAGATATTTTGCTAACAGAGTTATGTACAGTTAGCTGGGAGCCTCCCGCAGGGATCAGAGCAGTTTGATCCCAGGCTCCGTTACCTTTCATTAACATGTCAGGTGAAAGTGATCCCAGGGTTTTACGGGTCGACTTCTGGCCCGAATGCATTCATGTAGTTCCTGGCAGCGCTGCCAGGGTCTGCTGCAGCTGAAGGGGGGTGGGGGGGGGATCGGGTTCGGCTGCTTTCAGTGGCGGGCAGGAAGGACAAAAAGCTCCTCTCTCTGAGCCAACATTCCTCGGCCCAAAGAGATTTTATAGACCAGCGGACATTAAAGCAGGAACCATTATTACATCCTGGTGCTACTATTTATCACGCTGCCTCCTTTTCACCGCACCGCACCATGCAGCCGGGACGAGGACACTTCCTGAAAAAATGCTTTATTCTCTTGCAAATGATGCGGGGGTTAAATGCAAAACAAAATGAAACAAAATGGACTCAACAAGCTGAGGTTGGGTGGATTAACTCCGACCCACAGAGCATTTATTTCACCCTGATTAACAAACTGCAGCACCTTTGTTCAAATTACCAATTAAACCTGATTTATGATGAAAACTCTGCAATAATCATGTTTCAATCAACTGGCTTGAAGTGAATCAGTTACATCATATGCATGTGCGTAGTAAACAGGAAGTAACCGTCACTAAACTGGCAGGGTCCACACCTCTCAGGATAACGGAGAGAAGTTATCAGGAACGTGTTGCTGCTATCAGGAAAGTTGTAATTATTCTGTCATCAACTAGTTCTGGTGGTTACTGCTGTCTGGAGACATAGAGAAAGAAATGACATTTTCTTCACGTTACGGGATTACTGAGAAGACGAACAGCAGGAGGAGGGTTCTGCTGCAGCCGACCCAAAACTGGTGCCGGTACCGGGGAACAGCTGATCAGCTACGTGAGGTAAATGTTTGCTACGTCACAACTTATTCAGCAAACGTGTTTCCATCTCTCCGTTTATGCATTAAGTGTTTTTCGAAAAAAAAAAAAAAAAAAACTACCTCTAGCGAGCGTAAAAACTTTAGTGAAATGAGGATTTTTTTTCCGAATTTTTCTGTTTCCATCCGACTTTTTTTCTTCTTCATTTTTAAAGCAACATTTCTAAACGTGCATCAAAAAGCCTTGATGGAAACACGGTTACTGATTAGGTTTTTAGTGTCGGGGAAGAAAATCACTTCTTCCAGGAACAAAACGTTTTACAGTCTGGTGTTTTCCCGCCGTCATCCTGAACCACCAAGGACTTGTTTTGACTTGTGGCGGCAGAGAGACTAAAACAATGTTGACGAGTTTAAAACTGGAGTGAAGCTCGGGATCTGATCTGACTCTGGTTTCCACAGAACAAACCGAAAACACGAGAGAGAGAGAGAGAGAGAGAGAGAGACAGACAGAGAGAGAGACAGAGAGAGAGAGAGAGAGAGAGACAGAGAGAGAGAGAGACACAGAGACACAGAGAGAGAGAGAGAGACAGAGAGAGAGACACAGAGAGAGACAGAGAGAGAGAGAGAGACAGAGAGAGAGAGACAGAGAGAGAGACAGAGAGAGAGACAGAGAGAGAGAGAGAGAGAGACAGAGAGAGAGAGAGAGAGAGAGAGAGACAGAGAGAGAGAGACAGAGAGACAGAGAGACGGAGAGAGAGAGACAGAGAGAGAGAGAGACGGAGAGAGAGAGACAGAGAGAGAGAGACAGAGAGAGAGAGACAGAGAGAGAGACAGAGACAGAGGCAGTCGAAGCCAAACACAGCTGTAAGTTTCTCCAGGAATGCAGCAGATCTGAACCCAATCCTGGATAAAAACATTCCCGTCGAGCCTGAGGAACAAAGAACCTCCAGCTTTGAGCATTCAGAGCTCGCTCCTTTGTCAGGTAGAGGACGTATTGATTAGAGGGGACCCACATACCAGCGCTGACCTGTGTGTGTGTGTGTGTGTGTGTGTGTGTGTGTGTGTGTGTGTGTTGGACCCCTCTAAAAGTGAGGATCTGGAGCTCGTTTACAGAGGAACAGGAATGTTTTGGTGGGAAAGCTGTAGGTGTAACCGTTACCGCTCCAAAACCAGGCCAGACTAAAAAAAGGAGCGTCTCGTATGAAAAGGGTCCCGGCCCCCGGGGCCCTATTGAGACCCCTCCAAGTGTGCAAAATCCCCCAGAGGGCCGGTCAAGATCACCAGGGGTCACATTCCAGCACTCAGGAGAAAAAAAACAAACTACAAAAAAAGAAGAGGTGACGAGACGTTTGAAGAATCAAACTGTAAATCTCAGAAAGCTGCAGGATTTTACAGGATTCAAACCCACAACCTGACATGTGCTGCTAACCCGCCATCTTCTCCTGCTTTTCACAGCATCTGTACGAGTCCGGGCCCAGCGAGGGGGAGGAGGGGGGCCCGGCCCGGCTGCATGTGGGTGGCATCCAGACGGGCCGCACTCCACCATACGCTGGCCCAAATTACCAGCCAGCGTAAATAAAAATACCAGAACCGGCCGTGGTTCACCAGCAGCACCAAAAATACTCCTTCAGGAACAAAGACGTGACTGTGGGAAGAGTTTACACACAAACAGTTCCTGGAAGTGTCACCTCACAACACTGAAACCTGCAGACAACACGGTTCAGGTCCTGCAGAGAAGCAGAGCTGCAGGACTCATTAACCAGGTAAAGACTGACCTGATTGGTCACATGACCGACCTGCAGGGCACACCTTTCACAGCCCAAACATCCTCTGTGAGCTGCGCTTATTTTCACAACACACTGCACAAAACCTGCAGACTTCACCCACAACACCGAGCTGAAACCCACAACACCGAGCTGAAACCAAACATTTTCACTTTGTTTCAGTAAAACACACATTGATCTGAAAATAAAAACTGACCTTAAATCAGCCAAACAAAAACTAACGTCTGTTTTTATTCTCAAACAGTCACGATTATCTGCTTCTCTAAGAAATACTCAGGAAAACTTCTTTAGAAAAGTTTTAAAAATCAAAGCAAGTGGACTTTTATTTTGTAACAGGCTTCCTGCAGCTTAAGGAAAGTTACATTTAAGACTTTAAGACCTCTTTAAGGCCACCTGAAATGAAATTTAAGACCCAATTCACTATAAATAAAAATGCGGAAAAAAAATGTTGGAGACAATTTTACACAAATGTTTATTTAAACAGAACTAGCTACGAGAAAAACTCTTATTTAAACAAATGTTACCAATTATTTTAATATTTGAGATGATTTCCAATCATCCTACTTTAAATGTGTTAACATTTTAAGATCACTGAAAGATTGATTTAAGACATTTTAAGACCATTAAAGCCTTATTTTTGGATTAATGAATTCAATAACTTTCAAGGACCTGTGGGAACCCTGTGGGTAAAAACCTTTTCTTTCATACAGGTGAGTTTAGCAGCATTTCACCAGGTCTTCAACGACAGATTATGTTTCAGTTTGTTAAACTTTTAGATTGAGCCCAGAAATAATCTCCAGCCCAGGACCCCCAAATCCTCCGTAATCCTGCCCTGGAATAAACTAAAACAGACTAAATCCAAAGAAAAACTCAAATCTGTAGGAAAGTCAGGAGGGAAAAGATGACAGTTTTTTTTAAAAGTTGCAGTAAATCTGGATTATTTCAAAGGAAAAGAAGTGTTTTTAAAGGTGTTTTAAAAAGGATTAAAAGATAAAGAGTTGGTGGTAAAATCCCACACAGACTGGGGTTTCTGGGTCCGGTCCACGGAAAGTCCTGGGTCTTTCCAAACCGCCTCAGCTCACAAATTCTTCAGAGATTAAGTCAACGTTTGGTTTTTGGAAACAGGAAGTGGTTGTTTAACTCTTCCCAAATGTTTGGGCTCAGAGCGGCGG